TTAAAATTTCGATAATGTTTATTTATTCGTCAAAACCAGAGAATCGCGAAAGGACTTAAAAACAGGAAGTAGAATGAAGATACGATAAAATTGAAATTTAACAAGCTTTTGTCATTCTATTTCTCACATTGTAAATCTTTAATAACTTACTTTGTGGACAAATTAATAAATTAGGCTCTCCACTTGAGAAACAGTTTGCAAAAACTCTTTGAATATTGACATTTTCTAAAAAATAAAAATAAATTATATTTCAAGTTTTAAATTGAAGACATTCTATTAAAAAAATTCACGTTATTTATGTCGAGGTCTTTTATAGTTTATTACACGATATGGATTTTTCTAACTGTTAAAGGTCTTTCGGTGTCTTGTAATAGCTTTCATCTTCGTCATATGATATCTTGTGGATAGTTGTCACATTGACGATGTTACAAAAGATTCGTTATATAATCATTATTATATTTCAAAAACCCGTGTCATCTCCGTTAACTCATTTTGGAGGTTTTGGTTTTTCAGTGCCTTCAGACAGATTTATATTTGAGCGTTGGTGATGAGTTTTGTTCAAACAAAAAGTACGGCTTGTCAATTGAATAAAATACTTGGAACATTTGATGAAAAAAAGTTCAAAACGGACAGACCCTTATCAAATAGCAAAATAAAAATATATGGTACAGACATTTCCTAATTTAGAAAATGGAGGAATAAACCTGGTTTAATAGCTAGCTTAACCTCTCACTTTGACACTCGCATAACAACAATATATGTTGACCGATTTTCAATTATAATGAATTTAGTAAGAAACAAAACTGAGGAATCGCACGAATTCCAAAGACCAGGTTAGTCGACAGCGTTGGCGTCTACTGCTATATGCATGCATCAGTTACATTTTTGCGCTACGGTTGACAAAACAATAGCATTTGCAAACGTCAAATCTGCAACTGACAACGGCGCCGTATACAACACAGGTTAGTTATTTCATGATATCAAAATCAAAATGTTATTTATAGTCTATGTTGATTTGTGGTCTTGTATACATTCATCAATGATAAGAAAATCCATGTATGCAACAAGGAGGAAACAAGTAAGTTATGAATTGGATCTAGTTATGTGTAACACCGCGAATCTTACAAATAGGATGCTTGGTAGAAAAACCCGCAAAACTCTGCTGCATAGTTGCTCGTACAAATGCGATTCATCAATTAAAGAATCTGCAAGTATAAGGCACACAGGAATTATATAATTGATGGAAAGGCAAAAGATACCAGTGGGACATTCAGTCGAAAATAATCTGACAACGCCAAGGCTTAAAAAGACCAACAGACAAACAATATTATACAAAACACAACATATAAAAAAATTAAGATTGAGCAACACAAACCCACCAAAAACCAGGGGCGTGTCGTGTCGACTTAAAAAAGGGCAGAAAGATACCAGAGGGACAGTCAAACTCATAGATCAAAAATAAACTGACAACGCCATGGCTAAAAAATAAAAGACAAACAGACAAATAATAGTACACAAAACACAACATAGAAAACTAAAACTAAGCAACACGAACCCTACCAAAAAGGGTTGATCTCAGGTGCTCCGGAAGGGTAAGCAGATCCTGCGCCACATGTGGCACCCGTCGTGTTGCTCATGTTGTTACAAATCCGGTATATAGTCTAATTCGGTAGGTCACATTCGTGGTGAAAAGGGAAGTGGAATGTAGTAACGACATAAGGAACATATCCGATATCATCTGTGAAACGGTTATTCCATAACGGGCAATCAACTCGTGATGGCGTCCGTAAAATGTACGAAGGGATGATTTCAACTTCACCATTTGGAACTCTTGGTATAATAGCTTCCTTGTGATCAGCAACCCTCTATCAAGGAAATCATTATAGGAAATACATGCACGGGTATATCGTATAGATTGGGAGATATATACTCCATATGCAGGCGCTGCTTGAATGTTGCTACATAGAATTGGAAAGTTTACAATTGGAAAGCTGAAATCATCTCTTTTGTCGTAGAATTTTATTTTCAACCGACCCTCATTATCAATTTCTAGATGCAAGTCAAGATATGAGGCAGACTTAACTGTATCTGTTGTATCCTTTATCTCTAGTTCCATGGGATAGATGCGTTCAACATAGTCCCCGAATCTTTATTATTTAGTGAGAGAACATAATCTTTATAGCGGAAAGTAAAGTTAAAGGATATTGCTAACTTCTTATCTTTCTTCCTAAGAAGTTCATGTATGAAGTCAGCCTCATAATAATAAAGAAACAAGTCGGCAAGAAGAGGGGCACAATGGTTTCCCATTGGAATGCCGACAGTCTGTTGAAAAACACGTCCTCCAAATGTAACAAATATGTTGTCAATCAAGAAATCAAGCATCTTGATAATGTAAGTTTCAGAGAATTTTTTGTTTGAATCAGAGTGCTTCTTTACAAAGTAGGATTTATTCCTCCCAAAGACAAGATACTTGTATCTACGTTCACCATTCTGTTTTATGAAACAAAGCAATACCAACTCTTTCAATTTGTCTTTTAGTTTGGAATGGGGAATTCTTGTGTAAAGTGTAGAAAAGTCAAATGTTTTAATACTATTGCAAGATGAGAGAGTCTTAGATTGTATTTACTCTAAAAGATCTTTGGAATTATTTAGTATCCACATTTGATTTTACACGATCTCTAGAATAGTTAGTTTCACAACTTTAAAGCCCGGCTTTGATAGATGATAAAATGCATGTTGATGATAAAGATAGAGGTTTCGTGGAGCACTCGGAAGAGCCAGCAATATACCGTTGTTTGTAAAGACATTTATGTAGTTTAGGTATCCAATATAGTGATGCAAGATGCAGTTTCTTGTCTTTGGTTGAAATTCCAAAGGAACATAGACAGACATGTGATTTTAAAGGATTTCCTTTATTGTAAGTGTCTCGTGGGGGTATATGTTGAGTTTCCAAGTGAATTTTCAATACCTAATTCGCTTATCAAGCAGTTAAAATGATTCGAAAAATGATTCTTGTGGTAGAATTTTATATTTTAAACATTAATCTGAAAAAAAATCAAAATTTATACGATAATCATCAAACCTTGTTCAGCAAGATTGTTCAAAATAATCCCCAGGTGTTCGATACTTAGGTAGTCAGATACACCAACTGAAAAAGTTGTTAGAAATGTTTCCCATACTTGTTCGAATATTTTCACTACGTTCGTGGCTTCAGCTTCTCTGAAAAAAATATTTCATCTTTAAATCAATAAGCTTAATCAGAAATATTGATCTTATAGTTATTTATTTCACATTAAAAATATTGCCCGACAGTATGAAGATTTTACAAATAAATGAAAAACATAAACCACTCGCTTTGTGCTGTAAGTTTAATCATGACGCTTTTATGTACAAATACTTACTTGCATTTCTGTAATTTAAGGCTCATTTTCCTTGTTATTCGTAAAAAGTAAAAACACAAAAATACTGAACTCCGATGAAAATTCAAAACGGAAAGTCCCTAATCAAATGGCAAAATCAAAAGATAAACAAATCAAACGAATGGACAACAACTGTCATATTCCTGACTTGGTACAGGCATTTTCTTATGTAGAAAATTGTGGATTGAACTTGGTTTTATAGCGCTAAACCTCTCACTTGTATGACACTCGCATCAAATTCCATTATATTGACAACGGTGCGTGAACAAAACAGACATAATAGGTAAAATGTCAAAATAGGGATACAATAGTCATCACCGTGTCACAATCTCAATCAGAACAATAACAAACAAATATTTAACAAATAAGCACAAAAAAGCATATATTAAATTCAACAACCACGTTCATTGCTTACTAATTTTTGTATTTCATTTATGTAGGTTTAATCAACCCATAAAGGATTGAAATATTTTAAGTCCTGTGACCAAATGGCTAGGTTTACATCAACTCTGGTGTAGAATCGCGTGTTGCCGTCAGATTTCAAACGTCACACAGGTAGAGATGTAAAATAATTTTGTCGTTCAAGATATGCAAAAATTATAATAGACAATAACATAATGGCGGGATGTTTGAAGTACAGAGACACGTCATATGTATCAAAGAAACACAAAAAGTCACACGGGCAAAGCACACTAGCAAAAATGAATATAATACAAACAACACATTGACGGGATGCATAAGTACCGAGCCACGTCAAATGGATATCACCAAAAACAGACCAAATAGTAAAAGTAATATTAATAAATACAAATAAATGAACAATTTAACACGTTATTACTATGATAAACATGTTAGAATGCAGAATCTATACACCAAGACCATCATGTATAATTTGTGAAGTTGATACGGAATATTTATCAACAAGGTCTTGGTACCTTCCTCTGAACTTTTTTAGAAAAAGGACGAGACGTTCTTTGACATACCCCTGGTTCATCAACTTTCTACTCAGACACTGGTGACGTTTTACAAAGTCTGAGTAGGAGCTGCAAGCTCTTGAATATCGAATAAGTTGGGAAATGTATATTTCATATGCAGCTGAAGTTGGTATAATGCTACTAAGGTGGGGGAAATTGATAATTTCAAAATTAAAATCGTCTCGTTTCTCATAGATTCTGGTACTGAGATGACTGTGTTTGTCAAATTCGAGGTATAAGTTTCTGTAAATAACCTGTAAAAAATTGCTTTCTGTTGCTAAACTAACTTGCATGACGACACAGTCGAATTGTGTCGTTACATCTTTGCGTATGTGTACATTAGTATTAAAGAATATGTTAATCATATTTTCATTTACAGTTACTTGAACGCTTCACTGTGACTTATAAATATAAAATCGGTTTTCCGTTGTGTGTATATGAGAGAATTTTTTACATAATATTCTTCTCTCTTTCCGACGGGTATATGGACAGCGGTATGCTACTATTGCCTTTATATATGTATCAGTATTTCCATGTAAGGTCGATATCTATTTCAAAATTACTCCTCTGACAATGATAAAAACATTGGATCGTTTCATCTTTTTACCTGGACTTAATGTCAAGTCTTCTAAAAATATTTTCTGTGATAGAAACTAAAGTGTCGTCTGTCTGTTTCTGAGTCATTTCCTTATGTGTTGGCTTCTTGAGATAATCTTCATTTTCCTTACACCATGCTTTTCCTAATCAATATGAAACAAAACATCTTTATGCGACATTTTACTACACTGGTTTGTTCATCTAAAGTTTATCAAAGCGGCATTAGATTTTAAGGGAGAGAGAAAAATCAGACGTTTTAGACATGTTACGTGCATTTATTGTCCTTCCAAAACCAGTTCAACACATTCTTGTCATATATTGTTTTTTTTTTATTATTAAATCAAATTATCGTTCGACAAACATTGTTACTCATACTGTTTTACAGCCCATGTTAAAGTAAAGTAACAAAAATACCGAACTCCAAGGAAAAATTCAAAATAAAAGTCCTCTGTATTAAAACAAGATGCTGTACCCTGTGTCATTGGCTTGGATCTTTCCTAAAATTTTCACAGTAGCCGCTCTAATACTTTAAAGACTATATTATTCATGACTTACATATCGTTTTCTGTTTATCTTGTAATGCAGATAAAATACACTCTATCTCTAAATTTTTTGCCCATAAAGGACAAAAATCGTCTTTTAACAATTATAAGAGGTCAACTGACAATTGCGCTAATGTTGACTTATTTGTAGATCTTGTTTGGCTCCTTATATATGTTGTTTACAGTTTTTCTTTATCTTTTACAAGTTTTGCATAATATGCATAGATTGGAAATGAATTATCATTACAAGACAATAACTCCGTTATGTATTATACGATATGTTTCTTATGTCTAACCTACACTCCCGTTCCCTTTTTCCGAATCCGATTACACTTATAATCGGGTTTATACTAACACGAGCAACAATATGTCACATGTGGAGCAGGATCTGCTTACCTTTCCGAAGCACCTGCGATCGCCCACAGTTTTTGGTCGGGTTCGCGTTCCCCAAATTTTAGTTTTCTATGTTGTATTTTGTGTACTATTATTTTTCTTTTTTTTTCATTTTTTAGTCATGACGTTGTCAGTGTATTTCCGAAAAATGAGTTCGAATATCACTCTGGTATAATTTGCCATTAATATTGTATTTGTGCCAGACGCGCGTTTCGTCTACAAATGACTCATCAGTGACGCTCGAAAAAAAAAAAGTTAAAAAGGCCAAATATTGTACAAAGTTGAAGAGCATTGTGGATCAAAAATTCTTAAAGGTTTGCCAAATACAGCTAAGGTAATCTGTTCAATGAGGGTCGGTTGGAAACACAACTTTACGACAAAAGAGATGATTTCAGCTTCCCAATTGTGAACTTTTTATTTCTATGTAGCAACATTCCAGCAGCGCATGCAAACGGAGTATATATCTCTCAATTGATACAATATTCCCGGACTTGTATTTCCTATCATGATTTCCTTGATAGAGGGTAGCTGCTCACAAGGAAGCTATTAGACCAAGAGTTCCAAATGGTGAAGTTGAACTCATCCCTTCGTAAATTTTACGGACGCCATCTCGAGTTGGTTGACCTTTATGAAAAAACCGTTTCACAAATGATATCGGATATGTTTTTCTAATGTCGTAACTACAATCTCCTTCCCTTTTCACAAATGTGACCTACCGAATTAGACAATTTACTGGATTTGTAATAACATAATCAACGGGTGCCACATGTGGAGCAGGATCTGCGTACTCTTCCGGAGCACTTGAGATCACCGCCGTTTTTTTGTGAGGTTCGTGTTGCCTAGTCTTAAGTTTTCTATGTTGTGTCTTGTGTACTAGTACTTGTCTGTTTGGTTTTTTTTTCTTTTTTAGCCATGACGTCGTCAGTTTATTTTCGATCCATGACTTTGACTCTCTCTCTGGTATCTTTGGCCCCTCTTTTCCAGAGTTAGAAAAGCCTTACTATTCCAAAAATCTTTCGAATTTTTCCTGTCGATCTAGTTTTCTGTTGAAGTTTATCTTTACTATACTTTTGACCAAAAATTTGTAAAAATCGTCAGTTAGGAGCAATATCTCATTTACGGTTCAGCCATTGATAAATGTTTTGATCTTTCCTGGAAATCATTTTCTTATTTCCTATTTATAATATGATTCAAAATGCTAAGCTTAATTTCAATACATGATACAAATATTAATTTCGGGGCAATAAGAAATCACACGACGATTTCGGCAATGGTGAATTTGTAGATCTTGTCTTGCTGATAATTTCATCTCTCTCTCTTTATCGAGTACCTTGATTTGAATGTTCTCTCAAATAAGTTTTGATGGTGATGTTCTTAAGAGAGTGATTTTGTTGATTAAGATACTTTGGTTATTTAAATGTATTAACGCTATTATCGCTTGAAAATGAAAAACACCACAATTAATCTTCTACAAAACAATGTACATGTCGTCATAAACGAATTTTAACCCTATTCAGGTTGTAAATTAATGTAACTTTCCAAAATGAAATCTATGTGTAAAAATAGTTTAAAATTCAGAGTCCTAAATATAAAATATATTCTACAAATTTAATTCAAATCTATTTCTTAGGTTGTGTTTTGTATTTTGATTTTTGTTTGCATGGCGATGTCAGTTTATTTGCGACTGATGAGTTTGAATGTCCCTATTGTTTTTATCGCCTCCCTTTTACAGAGCATTGATGTCAATGCATTATCCTTTGAAATACTGTTAATTAATCAGAGTGTATACTGTAATCCAAAACAGATATAGCCCGACTGAAGTGTATCTTTCACTTAGTGATGCTTGTAGAAATTATGTTTTCTATTGATTTTGCGTCATATTATACTCGATGTATTAACTCACCTCCTTGAATATCATTGTGTCTTGATTTCGCCCCTTTTGTTACAGTTTTGATGGCAGTTGTCTTTGCAGACGATATCGCTTTTGTCAAATCATCTTTTGTACAACCTCGTTTTACAGCAGAAAGTAATGAATAAACTAGAGGGGATGGTCTTGCTTCAAATCCTACTTTAACTAGCTCTTTTTGAAGAATTACCATCTGGTCTACTGTGAAATAATTCAAGCCGAAATATTTGTCTCTTGTTTGGTCAATATAGTCTAACCATTTGTTATGGCATTGTTCAAAAAATCTTGCTAGCTCTTGGATCAGTAAACTAACGTCATCAATTTTCTCATCAATACGTGTTCTAATTGCTTGGCTTTCTTCGTCGGAACCAAATAATATGAATGCACAAACAGTGCTGCCAGGATCACAGACAATTCTTATTCGCCAATGTGAGAAAAGTATACACCCATCAGATATTAGTTTTACATAAATACTGCCAAGCCTCACTATGGAATCTAATGTCTGAAAAAATAATATAACAGTGTATTATAGGACGTCTCCTAAATAATAGATACCAGGATTAAATTTTGTATTTACGCCAGACGCGCGTTTAGTCTACAAAAGACTCATCAGAGACGCTCAAATCAATAAAAGTTAAAGAGGCCAAATAAAGTACGATGTTGAAGAGCATTGAGGACCAAAATTCCTAAAAGTTTTGCCAAATACAGCTAAGGTTATCTATTCCTGAGGTAGAAAAGCCTTAGTATTTCAAAAATTCAAAAGTTTTGTAAACAGTTAATTTATAAATATGACCATACCAATGCTAATTCATGTCAGCACAGAAGTGTTGACTACTGGGCTGATGATACCCTCGGGAAATTAAAACTCCACCAGCAGTGGCATCGACTCAGTGGTTGTAAATAAACTTATCATAGATACCAGGATTAAATTTTATATTTACCGGTACGCCAGACGCGCGTTTCGTCTACAAAAGACTCATCAGTGACGCTCGAATCCAAAAAAGTTAAAAAGGCCAAATAAAGTACGATGTTGAAGAGCATTGAGGAGCTTTCCGAAATTATTGCAATCTTTTACAAGTAGATTAAAATCAAAACAGATACCCTAATAATGATTGAGGCCAAATGTAATATAGACCCCGTAATCTAGCCGTCTTGAATGATGGATTGGCTTCAAAGTAATAACACTTTGTCAGCACCTCATAGAGAGCATTCATGCCATATTTGGTTTTAAAGTAACAACAGCGTAAGGAATATTCATACAATGAGTTGTTTCATTCAATTCAGTGGTTCTCTAAAAGAGGGGCGAACGATACCAGAGGGACAGTCAAACTCATAGATCGAAAATAAACTGACAACGCCATGGCTAAAAATGAAAAGAAGTTCAAAGTGTAAAAATATAACGACGACGACGGACGACGACGTATTCTTTTATTTGTCTTTATGAATATTACTTTTACTGTTTACTTTGATGATATCCATTTGATGTGGCCCTGAACTTATACATCCCGTCATCGTGTTATTGTGCTATGGTAAATTTTTGTATTTTTGACTTTCATTTTTCTAATGTATTTTGTATATATGTCTTTTTGTATTTCTTTTTTACATATGACGTGGCTTTGTTCATATATATCCCGCCATTGTGTTATTGTGATATGATAAAATTTTTGATTTGTTGTCTTTCATTTTTGCTTATGTGCTTTGTCTATATTCTTTTTTGTGTATCTTTACGGACGCAATCAAGAGTTTCCTTCCCTTTTCATGAATGTGACCTACCCAATTAGACTATTTACCAGGTTTGTAATAACATTAGCAACACGACGGGTGCCACATGTGGAGCAGGATCCGAAGCACCTGAGATCACCCCCAGTTTTGGTGGGGTTCGTGTTGCTTAGTCTCTAGTTTTCTATGTTGTGTCTTGTGTACTATTTTTTGTCTGTTTGTCTTTTTCCTTTTTAGCCATGACTTTGTCAGTTTATTTTCGATCTATGAGTTTGACTGTCCCTCTGGTATCTTTCGCCCGTCTTTTGTTACATATTTGTTGGTTTTAATAGTTATTAAGATTATAACACAATGTTGACGGCTGAACCCTATTTTTTGACATTTTTGCCAATTATGACTATGATTTGTATCTTTCGACCCTCTTTCATACAAGTTAGATGTTTAGCTAGTTATATAACCAGGTTTAATCGAAACCTTTTCTACATGAGAAAATACCTGTGCCAAGTCAGGAGCATGACAATTGTTATCCATTCGTTTGATGTATTTTAATTTTGCCATTTTATTACGGAATTTCCATTTTGAATTTTCCTCGGAGTTCGGTATTTTTGTTATTTTAACAATGGTCAGAAAATATATTCATATGTCGCGACCACTTTGACACACCCTACTCTTTTCACCTCACAAACGAACCGATAAAATTAATGAAGATTGAAAACTAATTTAATGTATGCTGTTAAAAAAAACCGCATGGGTGTATGATAGGGACTTTTGAGACCCCGAACAAATTTCCATTGTACTAATGATTTTAATATATTACCCACTTATTATAAATATGCAACAAGTCATTACTTTGATTGCCTCCAATCCCTTTACCGTTCCTTGGCTACTTCTTTTAGTGCGTAATTGATTAATTGTTCTCGATTTTGAAGTTAATTAGCTATCATTAAATGCAATTTAAAATTGTAAATTGTGGTGCATCAAATTAAATCCTGTACCGTGTACTTTATTTGGTAAGGTCTTTTTTTCAAAACTGGTCATACTGGGAACTTCTATTACACATATTTTGGGTCACTTAGAATCTTAAAACTTACAATATAACTGCCTATTGCATTGTATTGTATGTTTGTTTGATGTGTTGTATTTGTTGTAATTCTTGAAAATAATGAAAAATTTAAAAAAGTATAACTGCCTACTGTACGATGAAACACTGACGGTTTGACAATTTTTCATTCAACTTACCAACATAAATCTTTCAACATCATCTTTGCCCTGTTCAGCTTTTCCTGCTACTAACATAAGTCGTGATTGCAGATCATGTAGCTGTTCATACCTGTAATACTTATCCTTCTTTGACGACCTGCCTTCTTTGTGACGAACTTGTAAATCTATCACATCCGACAATGCCTATATTGATATATAAATAATTTAATAAATATTTAGTTATTTAATTTCGAGAATATTTATTATTTTACTACTGTTGCCTTAATTTTAGTGTATCTTATTTAGTTGCTTTTGACAAATTCTTCAAACCAGCATATAGGAGTATACGAGCTGTTGAACTTCAGATTTCAATTTACCTTTTCTTAAAGAAGTTGACAAAAACTAGTTACCCGAAATAAAACAAAGTCAACAATAAATCATGACAGTCTTCAAAATTCATCTTTTTGAAAACTTATGGTCCTTATATAAAAGAGGAATTCATAAATCATGAGTAAAGAAAAATGAGACGAAGCCATGACCAGGATCTTGTTTTCAATGTGTGCTTTTTTTTTTTTTTTTTTTTATTCTGATGCTGTTCCTTCAATGCATTCTCCACATGTTCTTACTGACTGTTTTGTTCGAGTAGAAATGATAAGTGTGATGTGATGAAACGTGGGTCTGCTGAACTTAATTCAAATATAAAAAAAGACGATGTGGTATGATTGACAATGAGACAACTCTCCACAAGAGACCAAATGACACAACTCTCCACAAAAGACCAAATGACACAGAAATTAACAATTACAGGTCACCGTACGGCCGTCAACAATGAGCAAAGCCCATACTGCATAGTCAGCTATAAAAGGCCCCGACATCACAATGTAGAACAATTTAAACGATAAAACTAACGGCCTAATTTATGCATCAAAGCCTGGTATCATTGATTATAAGAAAGTTTAATCTGACCTTTCAATAGACTTGCTGTATAATTAATTATACGTTATGTATTCTACATCATGGCAAATTAATATTCCAAAGCGTCATGACCTGACAAATATATCTATTTCGGTCATATGATGTCGATTTAAGTGCTCTTGATAAAACCGTAAAATGATTTAAGTCCAAGCAAATACATGTCATCTTTACGTTAGTGTGAAGAATAATTGAATAGATTAGTATTCAATCAAAAATGTGGTATATCACCAATACATCTCAAATATCCACTGTACATTTTTTCTACTCAAATAGTATTTTTGACCCTATAAAAAATGTTATTGATTTTAAAGGTAGTTACCGTGTACTGTTTGTATTTTCATAATTTTCATAAATAGTTTTTCTAATCATGAAACTGAAACACATATTTATGGATAAAGGGTAGACAAGACTGTTGCCTGTAGAAAAACATACACTTTTAAACAGCAAAAAGACCAACTAAAGCAAGAGCAATCCTTTTTATACCAAACAAGCAAGGATTTCATTTGCTCTAGGAGGGTAAGCAGGTTTTGCTCTATATGTGACACTTGTCAAAAAACATAAACTTGCATCTAAGAATTGCTTGTGTTTAAGTATGTTTCTGTTATTTTTTATAAGGGCACTTAAATTAAAAATCACCTACTGGATTTTCTACAAATGGAGTCCTAGTCAGGTTTCCAATTTGGTACACACCCCTCTTATTTATAGCTTCAGCCTGTGAAAGTGTTGTAACTTCAGCAGCTCCGTGGAACTCCTCCACAGATTTAAGCCACCTAATTTGTCTTGATGTATCCCGCTTAAAAAATGCAAGTTGATATTGAATTGAAAGTATAACTTTAGATGATGCAAATATAATATAGGGTACAGTAATTGTTTGAAATTCGTTAGTCTATGAAAAATATACAACCAAGACAAATGCATCCCCTTGGGAAACTGTTGTCGATATATATATATATATATATATATATATATATATATATATTTCGACTCTTTCAAAATTAAAAAGTCTGTCCTAAATTGAGGTAAATTGTATGGCCTTCCAAATACCGTTTCGATTCCTAACATCACTGAAGAGACATTAATTGTCGAAATCCGGATATGGTGTACAAATTTTTGCACCTCATGTTTGCGGTATACCATCTTTTCCGCAAGTTTATTGTTTTCTGTTTGGTAACAAATTAATAATAAGATCCATTTTGTAACATCTGGTGATCCATTTATTTGGCGATCGCCAATGGCAGTCAACAGGTTTAAGAACATCAGTTGTTCGCCCTGCTAGTCAAATGCGTTTTGTTAAAATATACTTTTTCACTCCTTTGGGCTTTTAGAAAATGTTGTTTGTGCTGTATTTAGACCCCTCTACCAAGAATTTTGTTTTGCATGCACACGTATAAAAATTGCGGTTTTTATCAAACGCAATCATAGGTTTGAACGTTGTTTTTAATTTAGACTTGTTTATATTTTTTTCGTTTGGGCTTGAATTATATTTGCCTTCGGGTTTATATGATCCGTTCATCCTATTTCGACTCTTTCAAAATTCAAGAGTCTATCCTAAATTGAGGTAAATTATATGGCCTTCCAAATACCGTTTCGATTCCTAACATCACTGAAGAGACATTAATTGTCGAAATCCAGATATGGTGTACAAATTTTTGCACCTCATGTTTGCGGTATACCATCTTCAGTGATGTTAGGAATCGAAACGGTATTTGGAAAGCCATACAATTTACCTCAATTTAGGCTAGACTCTTGAATTTTGAGGAGTCAAAATAGGATGAACGGATCATATAAACCCGAAGGTAAATATAATACAAGCCAAAACGAAAAAATATAAACAAGTTTAAATTGAAAACAACGTTTTTCAAACCTATGATATATATATATATATATATATAAATGTATGTATTAACTGTCATGTAATATTTTGTGCTATATCTAGTCTCGCTATTTTTGATATATCCCACTAAGTATTTAGTATCACAATAAATTTTCAATTTTGTTCACATACTATGAACAACAAAATTATTTATGTTGTAAAAAAAACTGTATTCCATGTACTCCATACAATGAAATTTTCATATTTACTTGTGAACGTTATTTTATTTAACGCCAATTTTTTATCAAAATTGTATTCTTATTGTGTCATAAATCAAATATATTCGTTCAGCGTATGTTTTATACTTGTTTTTGTTAATATGTGTTTTTCATTTATTTTCATTGATATTTTATATCGTGTCTTTCTATAATGTAATGTTACACCACTACTTCAGGAAGCGTTTTTCGTTTCTCGTTTTTTATATAAATTGGAACAATAATCGAACAAATATTACTTTCCATGATCCGATGTGTAACAAAATAATGACATTGGTATATTATTTAATTATTTGTATGGGTTTTTTTCTATTGGAACCTTTTCTGAGTTATCAAAAGCGTAAAACTTGGTATCATGTCGTGCATTAATCTATCTTTATGGTGAACTAAGAATGCTCAAACCAAATAGCTCTAAATACTCTTTATCTGACATAAACACACTCACCAGCTTCTGAGGAAGTTGGGGATTTGAGTCTAAATCATTCCAGACATCCTGACATTTGTTTAAGAATTCTTCAGTGTCACACTCTTGTCTTAAATTGAAAATCAATGGTGCATATCCAGTTGTAGCGGAATGTAAACAATTGACCTTGGCAATCTCCATGTCACCTTCACCTGCCGATATACTGGCCAAGTCTACAAAAACTTGGAGTTCTTTTAATCCACCTGGAATAAATGTCAAACTAATTATATAGATATCACTAACATCAGATTCAATTGTGATCAACATGCAATGAATATAACAAATATCATTATTAATTATTAATAGAATAACACGGATATATCAAGGAAAACAGTTATCTTTCAATTCTGCATATTATCCTTTATATTCACAATGGCATTCACGCTCTTTCAAAGAAACTTATAAAACTTGTATATTGATAAAGGATACCGATTGTAGAATTAAATATCTTTATTCATTACGTCATAGTTTATTATTTTCATTTTCAAAAAAGAATAAATGGGGAAAAAATAGAACATTATGCATGCTATTTGAAATAGAGCTGAGTAGTTGATAGAGCAGACTGTTTTCTCTCGAAAACACTCTTTTTCAGTAATAATCTTGTATATCACTCTTTCAGTTATGTGTTATTTATAAATTGTAACCTTGGTGGTGGAAAATACATTCTAATCTCAAAGCTTCATAAATCTAGAAGAGCGTTGCACACGCATCACATTTATTATGTGTTATCTTAATTTTCTTCATAACACATCCTATTCTATGACATGCACAACATATCAAACAAGAAAGAGGTGATATCTGAATGATTGCATAATTATATAAATACCCTTCATTGTTTTTTGCAGCCATTGTACTAATGCTTTACAACTGATTAACTCCTTCAAACAGTCAGCTCTTTCTTTTGTGATCTCTCTTAGAATCGAACATGTATTCAATAAACCTCTATCCAGCCTTTTCATTGACGTTTCTTCAACATTTGTCTGAAGGATTACAAACTAGTGCATACATTTCCATCTTCATAATATTGCATCACATGTATGTTTCAACAGAATCCATTAGTTCCATTGGCTAGCAAGAATCGGGCGTCATTTAAAAAATAACCTTCATACCAAAATGGTCTTACAAGCATGACAATGTAATTATAAGAAATGAATGCTTCTTTTTTTAATTCCGTTGGAGTTTAAAATTGTTGATCATGCACATTTTTCAGGAAAGAGCTTCATATGCTTCGTCAATACTTTTAAATCCCAAAAAAATTACAGAAAGAAGCATTCAAATATTGAGTAACTTTGAATACAGTATCTTCTTTTCTTGGTTAATATTCTTAAATTGGACTCAAAGTAAAAGATTTGACAGTAATGTTTGGAATGATCTGGATATGCGGAATTCATATTTAACGAATATCACCAGTGATGGAGTTTTTAACAGCAGGGTCCTTATTTTAATGAATATGATGTTGAGACATTAACGATTGCTCTGTGTTTGTATTTTTTTACAAACTAATAAATATTCACAATCCAATCCTCGTTTATTACATTAGCGATGCCATTTATATCACTTTAAACTGTTATTTACCTGTCCTGTAAAACACGACAAATGCCATCAAGCAATCCAATTTTGTTGTTTAGCTGTTGGGTTTTTTAGCCATGGTATTGTCAGTTTATGTTCACCTTATGAGTTTGAATGTCCCTTAGGTATCTTTGCCTCGCTTTAATCTAATCAAGAAAAGCGCTTGGGACGCATGAAACTTACAAAGACTTAAGAGATAACTATATTGTATTTGAAGTTTGCGGACGTCCATCGGTAGTTTAACTGTTAACCTGGCGACGCGTAGCGGAGACAACTAAACAGGTATTTGCGACAGTAAAACTACCGATGGACGTCCGCAAAGCTTCAAATACAATACAGTTATCTCTATTCTAATGCAAAACAAGAACAGAATTCAATTTCAATTAACATTTCAGTGTTAAATTTAGGTTAAAGAAAATTCTGCAAAAATATGTTATCTTCATTGGCTCCTAAACAAGAAGACGTCAAAGGTTTGCTTTCCGTGTCAAACGTAAACACCGGGCATTTTCTGGCTTCTTGGCCGCTTCAGAATGTAATACAATTTGATAAAAAGAAGATTTCTAGTTGCAACAAGTAAGTTTTTTTGCTTATTATTGTAGAAATTACATGATAATACATTCCGCAATTCAAAATGTCGGCTCCCTTAGTCACAGACAAGGAAATAGAGAATTTTACGCTTACTGTCATCCAATCAGAACCATTGATACAAAATTATTGCATTAGAATTTTGGGTCTATTATTGTCTCTTGATTTATTTAATGTATTGTAAGTGTTAAACAAATACCGGTATATAATTCAAACGTTCATAAGAAGCACCGTCAAAAGTTAAATTCCGCTTTGGGTTAGAATGTTATCATGGTTAATGATGCAGGTATCACTTGGGGTACTGAAGCTATACAATATCCCGGGTTTTTTTTTTTGTAAAGCTTGTATTCATTTATTTGTATGTGCACAATTTAAAATACGATATTACTGAAAACAGATATCTCTAAAAACAAATCCAATTATACTTTTAGTGCTAACAAATGAAAAATAAATCCTTATAAAAAATATCAACAGTGTGGAAAAAAGGACGCATGCAATTTTATGAGCCTAGTCTCCAAATTTTCTGTCTTTCTCCACTATAAACATATTTTTTTCTTGCGTTTGCCGTTTTGTTACTTGTTTGAATGATAATTAAAATAAAGATTTACAGCTCAAATGACTATGGTGATAAGGAATGACTCTCCTAGTTTCGATATTGGAATTCTTTTCTTGATATGGCAGGTCAATCGGATACTCTAATGTTTTCATTATGCATTTTTGTTTTTATCAAAATATTAAACAATAAAAAAAAAATCATCAAATTAAACTTTCTGTACATTTGTGGACTAACCACTTTCTGCTAAATGACTATATCTCCGAATTGTATAGTTTGATGAAGGATGTTAGTATCAATATTGCAATAGCGCTATATTGTGAAAATTAAAAAAAAACATATCTTACCACTCTAGAAATGTCAAAGATTTGACTAAAATTTTCTTCTTTCAAATCAAATTCATTAATGACTTCAATTATGACTTTAGCTCCATAAATGCAGTTTTCTAAAATTTCGAAGTTTTTAACCTGATAAAGTCTTTCGTCAATCCATTGTGTACTTTTATGATTGCCAAGAAACATAAGTTCTTTTCTCAATTCATCGGGATCTCTAGTCTTCAACCACTTATTGAACTCAGTGAAGGTCAAATCGCCAGATACAAACTTTTTGCAAAGTATTTGCCAGTCTTGTAGAGCTTGGCGCCAAACACAGTTGAAGACCTCATTAATAGATAACTTCCGATTTAAATTTTTCTTCATTTCCTTTCCTTTCTTTTTCCAGATTTTCATAAACAATGAACTTTTGCAGCAATTGACAATGTCTGGTACCACTTGCATATTTTGAGGACTGAGAAGATTGAATGCGATTATTATAGGTTGGTAGTTTTCCAGGTCTCTCTGTTGGTGTAGAATGCTTGTATCTACCAGTGTATCCAGGCTAACTGCGTTTATATCACCTGTGCTCACAGTCTTTAGCTGAGATTTAAGAGGTTCAGTATCCGCTATATAAGTAATAAAGAGAAAATAATATTTAAAAAAGATCAACAAACTTAGAAATCATTTTTAAACTGACAAAACAAATCAGAATGGGGTTAATCCTTTAAACTGCGACGTACACAGGAAATGATTTAAGATAATACTAGCCAGGAAGATCAATAAGTCAACTAACTGTCTTTACATGGAACGTAAACTCTATTTTTCCAAATTTTAAAAATCATATAGGCTACTCGTATTCTACTTGTTTTGCAATGAAACATGCACATCACAGAGATACCAGGCTAAACCTTTTGTATGCCAGACAAGCGTTTCGTCTAAAAATTAATCTCATAAGTAACACTCGAATAAAAAAGGTCAAATAAAGAAAGAAATTGAAGAGTGGTGAGGACTGGAATTTCCGAAAAGTCAGAAAATGTAATATACAGTCAAAAGCTTTGAATAGTTAAAGTTTAGCTTTCACTTTTACCTTTACATTTTGTACACAAATGTGTGAACTCTTGTACAATCTCGTATGTGTTTTCAAAGGCCTGCAGCTCTAAATGTCTTCCATCTAGGGTTTTTAAAATGGTGTCTGGTTTAGAAATTTTAATTACAGGAACAATCTTTTGAAATGGCTTTTTTCTAGACATTAACATTCTCAATGATCCAACGCAAATACTGCCTTGTAACAAATCTTCAATTAAATCCTTTGTGATACCATGAAATTTTGCCATGATTCTTTGACAATTTAAATTCACTGACTCCGGGCTCTCACCTAAACAAATGAAAACAGTAATATTGTAAGTCAAAACGCTCTTAATAACTTTCTTCGCTAGAAGTGTCCTGTTAAATATTTAAGGCTGGGTGAATATAAACTAGTTATTCGGTCGACATTATGCTTATAACTCGTAACTCCTAGTTCGGACTTTTTGCTCTTTGTAACTTTAATATTCCATATTGATAAGTCATAAGTCATACGGATACCTTTGTACTTAGATAGATCTCCATTGACAATCATGCCAAGTTTCCTTTTTTTTTTTCTTAAATTGTATTTGTTATTCAGGATCATCTAACTTCGCACAATAAAAATAAAAACTTGTTAAATATCCTTGCCAAATTAACTTTTATTCTAGAAAACATTAATTTAAACATATTTTATTGTTCAAAAATGACAAATGGATTAGACACAAGTTTTTCAACTTAGTAACGTCTTCTCCAATACATACATAAATATACACATTCTCAATTTTACATATATCTGACTTTAACAAATTATTATTTTAGCATGAAGATAACAAAATAAATTACATAAAAATTTGAAGAATCGGATCAATTGATATTTTCCACTTTAAATAACTAATCGAGTGCGTCTATTTTCAGAATAAATAAATACAAGCACACCGAGCTGTGTAAATAAAATATGTAAGTGTACATGACAAGTGATGTGTGTGAATTGGTTTAACTGTAAATTTTACACTCATAGTTTATGATGTCGCTTGTTACGGATTAATATGAAAAACGGAATAAATCTACACGTAATTGTTAGTATCAATTTTGTTTTTAATTAAATCCATTGAAACGTTTCAAAATACAATAGTCAATCATTAAGATCATTCGATTATCGTGACCCGAAGAGCATAATTTGATCATGCTCAAGTTAGATCTGTTACAGAATAAAGTTGTCAAAGTTGAGAAAAACGCTTGGTACTTTTTATATACTTTTATACAGATAGAAAACAATATCATTTTCGTCAGAACTCGAAGACTCATCACCAGAGAGCAATAACTCAATTGTAAAAATGACAGCAAAAACATTGATTTCATTTATCATTATAAGCCTTTGTGATGAAAAATTATTACAACATAATAAATAATGTTTAGCATCTTCATTGATAAAGCCACATAAACAATTTGCCTAACGTTGAAGTAAATAGCCTACATATTGCAGTATGGTTTAGCATGAAAGCTATCAATGTAGTCTAAAAATTATCCTCGTTTCCTAGAACTTACAGAACAGTTCCATATAGATATGAAAAGGCTCCCACATTAATGCATGTTCTAGATCTTGTACAGGATTATCAAGACTCTTTGAACCCCATTCTTTTTCAAATACTTTAGACAAAAGCTCCGACAGACGCAAGTTTGACTTTCCATCTTTATTTTTCCTCCAGTCAAAACTGCTACAACTTTCTATCGCCTAAGTAATAAAGCATACTATTGTTTTGAAGATTTACTTTCAACCAATAAGAGAAAACAAGGAAGTGAGAATTTGACTAAAATAAATTTGGCAAATGAATCTTCAATTTAAAAATAATGTAAATGAATTGATACTAAGATTGTTATTCATGGAGGATATTTA